CAGTGTGATTCATTGGGAGAGGGATACACTTTTACCGTGGATAGAGGCCACTGTGGTGATTTTAAGTAGCCTATAGTTAATGGCTCCTCAACAACTTATAACCGAGATGTGAGTTTTATAGATTTTGGCGGTTTCTCCGTTTCTTTATGGTCTCGCAAGTTTTCAACCACCCATTATAGTTCTCTAAATCTTGGTACTCATTCTTAGATTATGCTACACAGCCTGTTTATTGGAATTTTATTTATATATTATATTCGGAAAGGACACAGTCAAACTTTATTCTTTCGATCTACTTTTGTTATTTGATCAGATAATTTTATGAGCTGGCGATTTTGTTCATTTTGGTGTATAAGGCTGGAGCATTTATGGTCCATTAATTTTATAACTTACTATTTGAGACTATATGCGCCCCATTAGTGACACATTTAGAAAAAGGTATCTTATTAATCAGTTAGGTGCGTATCCACATAGTGAGGAAATCTGCATTGAGGAAGTCTGTAAAATTTACATTCACAAAGTTAATATACAGGGACATCACAGGCACTGTAAATGGCAACATTGGCTCGGACGTACTAATTCAAATGGTATTATTTAATGACCCAGGGGACTGCTGAATGTTTGTAAACTTTGAACGAGTACAAACACATTATCGAATCATAAAAACCGATGGTGCATCCATATGAAAGAATTGAGAAGCCTATGAAAAAATAATCTGTTTGTACAACTCCCAGGGAGTGATTCAAAGGACGGTGTGGGAAAATATGAAATATAAGTATGCTTTATGGTTTGAGCAATCAAATCACCTGTATATTTTTTCACATCTTACAGGACAAGGAAAGCAGATATCGTAAAGATATACGTGATAATGGCCACTGTGAATTCCAAAGTTTACTTGTTTTGTCTGTTCTAATGTTAATATTTTGTCTACTGTTAAAAAAGTGTTTAGGAGTATTTATTTTTGTTCCATTTGTCTATTCTATGTGCCTTTGTTGTAAGAGATATATTAGAATAAATATACTTGTTAAAAATTGAACTTGTCTCTTAAGAACCATTGTGGTGGAAACTAATCTCATTTTTATGTGTAGTATTGAAGCTAAAGTAACTTTCGTTAAATATATTTTAGATGCATATATCAGTTATAGCAGGTTGAATACAGTAATCAATGAGATAAAGCATTGACTGACGTATTAAAAATGGTTGTTCTTTCTGCACTGAATTTTCATGAATTTGTTTTTAAGCATGGATGTGAAATAAGGAATACGGTTGAAAACTACTACTAGGTGTAACTAAAACATTTATTATAATTAAGTGAGTAATATTCCGTGTACATTCATTACTGGTGTCAATAAATATATTTTACATGCAAAGTCATTGTCACCCTGTATCGAAATGGATCAGATTCATGGAGATTGTAAGATATACATGCCTAGTGCCTCCATTCTGATTATTTTCATATTTCAGTGACAACATTTCCAGTTGCATAAAATCGGATTGCTGTCTACCAGTCGGCTTATTTAAGTCGTCATGAATTAATCGGGTTGTGTCTTTTGAGAATCTATATCGTGCCTTTAAACTGATCTTCATCATAGAAACTGAACAAATTTATAACATCTCTCAAAGCACCCCCTTAATTGACGGTGATTTCTCGTTGTTACCAATAAATTCCAGAAACCCTTTATAATCCATTTTGCTTACAGTCATTGTCAACTAGGTGATAACCTTGATATGAAAATTACTTAACCTGAAAAACTCCAGCGAGTTACCCTCAAGTGAGCTACCGTTTCCCAACCACTAATAACTATTCAGGCTTTCTCAAGTATCAAGGGACCATGAAGTGATGTTTATGAATCTCAATCCCTTTTTGTCCTTATGTTTCCAGCTGACATCCTGGTTAATAAACCATGCATATTTGCTGAATCAAATCTCGTTGCAAAGCTTGTCAAACCTACTTTTCTGAGGTTGCGGATTTTTGGGCTTTAAAAATAAAAGAACTTACTGTTAAGGTTACAAATTTATTTACACCAATTTCTACAACAAAGTATACAACGGCGAGCTATTTATAGGTTTTCTCGTTATCTCTTTGCGCACGAAGTATACAATCAGAACAAAGAAATCCGTATCGTTGTAGCGCAAACGTTATACAATGGAATGTTGTGATATTATTACAATCTTCGTCTCGGTGATACCACATAAACAATTCACCATGATACTTTAACACGTCCTCACGTCTCTTTGAGTTTTACGTCTATTTTGTACTTGTCAATCTGTTGAAATCCAGTAGCGTATCTGAACTATTTTTATTTAAATATAGTCATAATTAATGCAAGAAAACGAAGTCGGCATCTGCCACTTGATATGATGTGATGAGCTGATGCGTGTTCGCCGTGTTGAAGTATACTAAGTGACAATCCGAACACCCAGTTTAAATGGTTTTATTTCAATAAAACTTGGTGAATGCATTTATCTTACTGTAAATAACAAGTGAAAACATTTTCAGCCTTATGAGTTGGACATTCCGGTTTTTATACTGCTTTTTTTTATTCACTAACGCTCTAAAAATGAATATTTCAGCCGCAGTAAAGAATCAACGTTGGCGGATTTTGGTTCATGACATCCTTTACGATCGGTTACGATGCCTAGAGTACGGAGACCTGTACGATTTCGTCAACTTAGTGAGTTTGATAGGGGCCGTATAGTGGGACTTCGGGAAGCTGGACTTTCTTTTCGGGCAATTGCAGTTAGAGTGCAAAGAAGTGTATACACTGGTTAGGTGTTGTCAGGCATGGCTTCGAGAAGGCCGTACGCAAAGAGCAAGGGGCACTGGACGCCGCCGTAGAACAACAGACCGTGAAGATCGCCGCCTAAGATTATTGGCCTTAAGGGACCGTTTCTCCACTACCAGGTCCATTGCAAATGAATGGTTTGCAGAACACGGAAGACCTATTGGCATGCGAAGTGTTTACCGACGAATGAGAAGATTTGGCTTGTTTTCATACCGGCCACACTGGGTCCTCCCTTTAACTCGAGAACACCGACGTAATCGCCTTGAGTGGTGCAGATAACGGTCACTCTGGGATCAGGAATGGAACAGTATTGTCTTTAGTGACGAGTCTCGATTTTGTTTAGGCATGCACGATGGTCGTGCCAGAGTTAGAAGGCGACGTGGTGAAAGGAGGAATCCACAGTTTTTTGTTGAAAGACATTTTCATCACACTGTTGGAGTTATGGTTTGGGGTGCTATAGCTTATGGTTCCAGGTCACCTTTAATCTTCATCAGAGGTAACATGAACGCGCAGCGTTATATCCACGAAGTTCTAGAACCCCATCTTTTACCCTATCTTGACACCCTGGCAGATCCAACTTTCCAACAAGAAAATGCCTGACCACATGTTGCAAGAGTCACAATAGACTTCTTTCAACATAATGATGTCACATTGTTAGAGGAGAAGGTCTAAATATAGGCTAGGGTCTAAATATAGGCTACTTGATACTGTGGTTTCCTACTTACTGGCAAAGAGAAGGCAACAGCGCACAATGATGTCTCGTCAGTCAAACCGTTGGCGGTAAAAAATCGGTTGTGTTCATTTGACATGTGTAGATGTTATGTTCCACGGTGTGCTATATCCTGTGATTTAGCGACTCGGAAAGTTTATAAGGTATGTTTATTTTCTTTTTGACACTGTGATCTTTTGAACTTAGAACTGATCTATTTCATTAATGATTTTAGTGACATACTAAGGTTATTCTTACATAGGTTACATTTGCTATAATGTTGTTCACTAATATTTGCCACACACCTATTCTTTTTGATAACGATGGTCCAAATATAGGCTACAAAGTGTGGTCCGAATTTGGGCTAGCCCGAATTTGGACCTTTATTTAGTATTACGACTTATTTTGGTTTCAGAATGCCGCGCAGCAATCCAAAATATGTCAAGAAAGATAAAAGGAAGTCGTGGAAGAAAGAAGACATGGAAACAGCAATTACAGTGGTTCGAGAAAAAAAGATGGGAACCTTAAAAGCGGCAAAAACTTTTAATGTGCCTCGTACAACCCTACAAACTTTGAGTAAAAAACTTGACCTTACTCCAGCACAAGCAGTTTGTACTAAGCTTGGGCGAAAGCCTTACTTGGGTGAAGACTTGGAAAAAGAGTTAGTTTCCTACTTACTCATAATGGAGCAGAAGTTTTATGGGTACACTATCCGAGATTTGCGCAGAATGGCTTATCAAATTGCAATTAGAAATCATCTTGAAACGCCATTTAACCGTAACGAGGCCGGCAGATCTTGGGTGGATCTTTTTTTAAATCGTCATAAAGAGCACCTATCTATTCGGAAACCATGTGGAACATCTTTCTCAAGAGCTTTAGGCTTCAACAAAGAGAATGTTCAGAGTTTTTTCAATATGCTCGAAGAGGCTTACGAAAAACACAAATTTCCAGCTGAGAGAGTGTTTAATGTTGACGAAACAGGACTTTCTATTGTTCAAAGCAAAATTCCTCATGTCATTGGTCGAAAAGGAAAAAAGCAAATAGCAGCCTTGACTTCTGCAGAGAGAGGTTCTACCGTAACGATAATTGCATGCATGAGTGCTTCTGGAGTTTTCGTCCCTCCTCTAGTGATCTTCCCAAGGACAAATATGACTCAAATCCTAATGAAAGGATGCCCTCCAGGTTCAATAGGGAGAGCTCACCCCTCAGGATGGGTTCAAAGTAATATTTTTACAGACTGGTTTGCTCATTTTATTGAGAAAGTCTGTCCGACAGAAAACTCGCCAGTTCTGCTGATTTTGGACGGACATTACAGTCACGTCCGAAATCCAGATTTAATTGACATGGCCCGAAAGAGCTTCGTGACAATAATTTGTCTTCCACCGCACTCTACACATAAACTGCAGCCGCTCGACAAGACATTCATGGGACCATTAAAAGCTTTTTATAGTGAGGAAGTAAGACAATTTATTAGACATTCAAACCGCGCTGTTACACCATATGACATCATGGAGCTCTTTGGGAAAGCTTACCTTAAGGTCCAGACGGGAGATATTGCAGTCAATGGTTTCAAGGCAACCGGAATTTTTCCTTTGAACAAAAATATTTTCACAGAGGCTGATTTCATAGCCTCTGAAATCGAAGCAGAGAAAACATGCAATGCACCCCAGGCTGATCAGTCAAAGGTGGTAGGATCTACATCATCTTCCCATGCATCATTTTCTCAATGCTGCTCTTCAAGCACTCCAAAGAATCTACCTGGACCATCGAAGCAAATTAGCCCTTTTCAAATTGCCCCAGTACCCAACATCAAGAAAAAGGTCACAAATCGTGGTCGCAAGTCTTCAAGTGCTTGTGTGATCACAGATACACCATACAAAGAAGAGCTTTCGAAGAGCCTGGAAAAGTCTGCAGCGAACATGAGCAAAAAAAAATTGCTATTTAACGATTTTGATGGCTCAAAAAAAAAGAGCAGCAATAAGATGACAAAAAGACCAAAAATAAGCTCAAAACCGGAGTCAGAATCTTCAGATTCTGATGGTGACTTACCCGACGACAGTTCGAGTGACATTGAAAGGCCTAATGGACATTACCCAGACGATGAGGATGCAAGTTGCTTATTTTGCAATGGAATGTTTTCAGAAGACACTAGAGGAGAAGTTTGGGTGAAGTGTTTTCAGTGTTTTATGTGGGCACATAGTGACTGTGCGGGTGCTGAAAAGGACATTTACATATGTGACTTTTGTAAATAAGTTTTATATTTTGTCTCCAAGACTTTTTGTCGATAAACTTGTGTTTATTGTTTCAAGCCTGACGTAATGGCGATAAGCATTTGTGCAACAGTTATTATTTGGTTTTATAGTTTAAACTGTTTTTTTAATAATATGATTATTGATAACATTTCATACCTAGAATATCTTTTTTTGAAATACTGTGAAACCACGGGCAATATCTAGATGTATTTTGATGGTAGCCCATATTTGGACCCTACCTGCAAAATCTTGTATTTTACCTTTTATAGAAATAAATATTGTAAAGTGAAAGCTTTTCATATTTAGACTATTTTTCCCGGTATTATTACATACATATGTTCCAGCTATGCTATACTAGGCCTAATATTAAAACAAATATGAACATTGTATTTTAAATAAATAAAAACAAAGCACCAGCCCGTATTTAGACCTTCTCCTCTACCATGGCCACCAAGATCTCCCGACTTATCCCCAATTGAGCACGTGTGGGATATGATGGGTAGGAGATTGCTCAATTTGCAACGTCCTCCTCAGACTCTAGAAGCACTTCGAGAGGAGTTGGTGGTTGCCTGGAATGAGATACCACAGGAGGCCATTGACCACCTGATCAGAAGCATGCCTAGGCGCGTTGGAGAATGCGTAGCACATCAGGGTGCATCCACACATTATTAAAGGTCAAAGGGCTTTAAAGCAGTGCAATCATTTTGAAATTTTTATCATTTACTTATTATACTTCATTAAGTACTTATACAAAATTTTATTAAAATAAAACCATTTAAACTGGGTGTTCGGATTTATATGTTACTTAGTACATAATGGGAAATTGTGGATCTATAGCTTGACTTAAAAGAACCTCACTTATTAAGAACAGTTTATGACTGTATGATTCAAGCTATTAAAATATACTTGAATTCCTGAATATTGCTAAAGAAATTCCACTACTACGGTAAAATATTTGAGATTTTGATTTGCGAAACATTATTCATTTTGGATTTATCAACAATGCGAGCAACAACTATTTATAAAAGTCAATATTGACAGATATGCAACATTCAAAAGCAGTTAAAGCGGAGGTAGTTAATAAGCAGGACAGGCGGAACATCATAGGCAGTGTGAAAGGCAACACCGGTTTGTTGCTACCAGATCACTGGTATGGGTAAACCACTTTTAGGTGCTGAATCGCCGCTCAGTTGGCAGCACTGTGTCAGTGTCGCTATTTACATATGCTACCTATGATGTTACATCTGCCTGATAGTCGTGATAAAAGACTGTAAAAGAATAAATATGTATTATAGAATGTACTTCGCCGTGGATGCTTTTATTGTCACACCTTGTCACTGAGACAGTTCTACCAGTACCAGCATTTTTAATTAGATTTTTATCTTATATGGGAACGGATGACTTCAACACAAAGTCAATTTTGACCGCGGCAGCAACATACGATTTGGCTACATTAGCATAATCTTTGTCAATACAGGATGCCCAGACTAAAATGCTACAAGTTCCTAAAAAATATTCGGCGCTTGCCTACCGAGATACAAATCCCTACAAGACACTAAGGGACTAGTAACTTTTAACGGAATTTGAACAACTTAGTAACCTGCTGTGAACTCATTTAAATGGTATCCATTGAAAACAACTCATTCAGATCGCCAGGACGGACTAGCCTTCATGCTATAATGCTGACACTAGCCCCACCCTGTATTTTAATGCCCCAAAAATAATATTTTTTTGTTAGCTGCAAAAACCTCTTCCTTTTTTATTTCGAAAAATGGCGTTAAGTGAATTAATTGACTTTGTATCTTCCACGGAATTATGTCGTCAATTAGATTACATAATCTAATACGTTCAGTTTATTTCCAAACCTTCCATGTGAACTATTATTGAAAATCGCCTAAAGCAACTGCATGTGAGATATAGGGCCAGTTGTTCAACTTTCGGTTAAACTGTAGATCACAGATCACCTGAACTCCAGTTCAAATATGAACTTAGTTCAAGTGCATGTGCGTTGTTCATCTGTCAGTCAAGCTCGGTTCCACTGAACCTTAAATATGCAGCAGTTGGTAATACCATAAGCACTATGTTATCAGGCACAGAATGATAAGACCTGCCAAGAATGTCATTTTGACGTGATTTTGACCGAAATCATAACCCTACTTTCACTTGCTTTCACTTATAGGCCGATTTCTTGAAGTTAGTTATTATCGACTATAAATATATCGCAACATCTGCAGGAAAGCGGTTAGGTATATAATTGACTCATTATATTTCGTATTTTTTATTTATTAAAAATATAATTGCTGCTGATTCTTTCTCTTTGTATTGGTGGATTTATTTGAAAAATGAGTGCACCTAAGAGCCGTTTTACACACAAAAACACTCCGAAAATTATGGTCATAATTATGCCGAAAATTTTTGCTGTCGTATTACACGTAAAAGAATTCTTTTGAAAATTTTCATGGTAAATCACATTTATAGTAACCATTGTCTCCATGAAATTCTGTTTTACATTTGATGCATACCTCGGCTTCAGGTTCATTGCCCTCCATCCTTGTTTATAATTAAGGATTCTGTTTTGGGATGGTTTTCTTTTTAAAATTGTAGGATGATTAAATCAAAGTGTGAAAATTTGATGCAAACAGATATTTGTGAGATATGATCCTGGATAACTAGACTATAAAATCAGCTAGTTATTCTGATGTTAGACAGGAAATATCTACGAAGGAGGAGCCCACTGATGAGTCAATACCCTCAACTAGTGGAACTTCGAAGCAAACAACAGATGTTCCCAAAATTGATTGAAGAAAACTTGGTTTCATTTATTGAATGTTTGGACTATTCCCTACCTCAGAACGAAGAATTTCAAAATAAAATACGGAAAAGGAAAAGGAATAGGCCGAAAACAACATTCCTCCTAACATCAACGCCTGTGAAAGTGGACTTAGAAATAAAGAAAACGTTAAAAACTATGAAAACAGAAAAATTTAAAGAAAAACTGAAAAAGGAATCAAATTTAAAGAGGAAGAAAACTGCAAAAGTAGAGGAAAAGAAAGAACAAAGAAAGCTGTCAACCAAGAGAAAAATTTTAAACAGCTCGAGCTCTAACGATGAGTCTCTGAAGCTTAGCGATAGTGATGGCAATAATGATATATTTTATGTAGAAGGAGAAACGGGTGTCACAAACGAGCTTTGTCTGGAGAATTCGGCAAAGACAAAGAGGTCTGATATCGCTGCGTAGTGTGCGGGCAATAGGTTCACGCATTGTGCAGCGACAAAGATGTACCGAGGGTTACGTATAGTATGTGAATTTTGTTGCACCTAAGTGTATATTCATGAGAGTATCAACACCGTACGGTATCACCCGCAGGTGTAAGGTGATACCGAACTTTCTACTTTTTTTTAACTTAATAAATTTTGTACTTCCATGGATCGGGTTTTATTTTTAGTTTTAGCATTTAGTAGCTCACTAGTTTTGCTAAAGTACACGCTTAGAATGAACCTTATATTTCTATTAATTATTGAGTTACATTAGTTCTTCGTTAGGTGTACGGTAACCACCTCCGCTCCCCTACTCGAAGGAATGTATGATTAATACAAAATCAATGCTACCACCATCTTTAATATGAACGAGACTGGTTTCTCGACTGTAGCTAAAAAATGGCAGAAAGTGTGGTAACCTAATGGTCAAAAGCTGTTGGGTCAATCGCTAGTGGGAAGCGAGGCGTTAACTCAACAATAGTTTGTTGTATAAATGCAGCTGGATTTCACGTACTCCCTCTTATTATTTTTAAAAGGAAAAGGTATACTGCAGAATTAAGCAATGCCGCTCCACCAGGCAGTAAAATCGAAATATTTTATTCTGAGATAGATCACTAGCGAAATCTTTGTCAAGTGGTTGCAACATTTTATAGACACTGGTCGTGTTACAAACGAAAATAAAGTGTTACTTCTTTTGGATGGCCATACGACTCATTGTAACAACCTTGAAGCTCTTCTTTTAGCAAAGGAGAATGGAGTGGTTTTGCTGCAATTGCCTGGTCATTCTACGCGCTGCTTACAACCTTTAGATAGGTCTTTGTTTAAACCATTGGAGGCACACTGTAAACAGGCTTCAGAGAGCTGGTTGAGGAGTAATTCTGGACGCGCAGTTACGCAATATCAAGTGGTGGAGCTTTGAAAAGCAGCGAACATTGAGAATTTATCCGATATCACGGCAATCCATCCCAAATACTTATCAGCAGCTAATAATGAATGTGGAAATAAAAATTTGTTCTACTTTACTGTCAGCGAAAAGAAACTTTTCCTGCGCTAGCCGTTTTTTAAATCTACTTTGGACATTACGGATCGTCCTATAAGAACGGTAGTTGCTAAAAGGAAAGACTCACAAGGTGGAATTCTTTCACTTGACTTGACTACTAAGGATGGCATTCGTCAACATATCAATAATATTCCAAGGATAGAGAGAGCCACTATTGTAGAGCGAATACCACCAAAGAGTTTATTGATGGAGGAAAAAGTGTAGCCGATCTGCATAGGTACTACTTCCACAACTGTGAATAAAAAAATCTGCCCTATGGCAACTATGTCCTTTATTATTGCATTTTCTATTCGGAGTATAATCTAGCCTTCGTCCAACCAAAGAAGGACCAATGTGAAGAGTGCACAGCTTTTTTTCATTCCAATGATGAAAATAAGATGGAGCTTCAGCCTAGTTATGATGCTCATCAGAATGAAAAAATGTTATCTAGGCTAGAAAAGGAGAAAGACAAAAGTGACAAAAACAGTCATGTGTGATAGCTGCTTATGATTTGGAAGGCGCTTTCCCCTGTCCACGAAGAGACGTCTTGAATTTCTACTATCTATAAAAAGTCAAAATTTCACAGTTTACAGTCTATGAGATGAGCCCCGACTCTTTTTACGATCTGAAAGGCCTTTTCGAACAATTCGACGAGTCATTCAAATTATTCGATGTTAAAATAATAAGGGTAGAATCTCACATTCTGGAACATTTTTTTTACAAAATCTCATACAGTGAGACTGATTTACGTAAAGTTGAGGTAGATAAAAAACCTTATATAAGATCTAAGAAAAACGAAGCAACAAAAGAGGTCCTGGCGTTAGGGGAGATGTGCCAAATATCGCACATAGCCCTAATATCGCACCCATTCATTTTTTTGCTTAACTTAAACCTGAAAATCCACTGAGTGAACAGCACGCGTATTCTGTATCCTCTAAGAAAGAAATTCCTTTCTGTAAACTCTCTATCGCACTCGCACTTTACTCTATTCTGTAAGTTGTTTCGGCAGCGATCGGGTTGCACGAAGACATTGTTTGGTATAAAGGAATAGAAAGACAATATTAATTGCGTTCGCGGGTCAAAAAATGAACCAGTTCGGAACAAAAACTGAACCATCCAGAATTACACAAATGCGCATGTCCAGTTATTTTCTAGTTCGAGATTTTCGTTTACCGCGAACGACTTTGGAACCGTTTGCGGATTCAACACCGTTGCCAATTTGCCCTCTATTTTGTGCTGTTGCCGAGTTGCTATTCGATTGACACTATTGACAGCTTACAGGTGTTACAGACCACATTTGAAATTTGTATTTTGCTATTTTTATTTTCCAAAATCTCTTATAACAAAAGCAAATAATGACTGATCCAGCAAGAGGTATATATAGTAAGTATTTATAAGTTCGTTTTTGAACTGACAACAAAATAATTTTTTTCAGAGGATCTTTGTGAATTTTTTACGTTCCCGACACCTGTAGAGGCGAGTCATTATTGGACTCATGAAAACACTTTGCTATTGTTAGATTTATACAGAAAATATAAGAATCAAGTCGGATCGCTAAGAATGAAGAATTTAAAAAAAATATTTGAGGAAATAACTAATAAGGTACCTGCGGCAAACAAAGCCCGGCGGCTAATAAAGCCCGTACTAAATATTTTAATAAATATGCGTATGCCCTGAAATATGGCAACGTTAAGCTGTTTCCAACTATACGTCCAAGGTCACAATTAGCCCCGGCATGGCGTAGATTGAATACCGTCTAAAAAATCAGTAACAATTCGAGCGTTGTGCGGTCTACACGTACACGTATGGTTTCTAATATTTCACGAACCTATTCACTTTAATATTTCGTTAGTCAAATTTTGCTTCGCTATAGTAAATAGTATATTGTGCTCTGCATTGTATAGGCTTGGTTTCACTATAAAAACATTAACAATAAGGTAAGTATCATTTGAAAATTTCTAGTTTGTTCTCGTTCAGTAGCATTTCGGTAAACAAGGCCCGATAATTTTCAGCAAATAAGGCCCACGCCTATAGTGCCTACAGATTCTGTGTTGATAATAACATTCAGCACCCATTTAATGCTTCTAAGGGGATTGCTGGTAAAGATTGGATGTACGGTTTTTTAAAACGGAATTCTCATTTGTCAAAACGCAAAGCACAACTTATGAATCCCGCACGTGCCCAAAAATTAAATAAATTTATAGTGAAAGATCACTTTACCAAACTAGCCAACATTTTTGATGAAATGAATTTGCACCAAAATCCACAGCACCTTTTCAACATGGACGAAAAGGTATGCCGATTGACTATTCAACATCAACAGCAAGTTATTAGTCAGAGAGGTGCCAGACGTGTCCACCTGGTGGCTCCTGAGCATGCAGAAAACGTAACCATTGCTGGTTGTTGTAATGCTTTAGGAAACAGTATTCCACCTATGGTCATATTTAAGGGAAAAAGATTAAAAGCTGAATATGAAGAAAATTTACCACAAGGTACCTTGGTTAAAATGGCTGAAAAGGGTAGCATGACCACTCAGCTTTTCATTGAATTTCTTAGGCATCTACACCGCTACAAGGGAACAGGTAAAGTTTTACTTGTTTTTGACGGAGCTGCTAGTCACCTGGATATCTCCATAATAGAGGTTGCAGATGAATTGGATATAAAGCTGTTTTGTCTGCCTTCCAACACAACACATGAGCTACAGCCTTTAGATAAAGCAGTTTATCGTTCGTTTGAATATCACTGGGACCAAGAGGTGCTCCGATTTTGGGATGTTAATCCAGATCGCCGCCTAAACAAATATCGTTTTGGCAAAATTTTATCTAAAGTTTGGCCTAGATGTATGACTCCTGAGAATATAATAAACGGTTTTCGAGCGACAGGATTATACCCACTAGATCCAAATATAATTCCTGAATCAGCTTTCGCTCCATCGTTAACCACTGAGCGTACTGACATTTCGGAAACTGAACAGGACAATAATCGTAGTAAGTAACTTCTGTCTTAAGCAGAGTAATACTATAACCGAATCTAGCGGTTCTGAATCCACCGACTCTGAAGAAGATATTCCTCTTAGTGCAATAAAAAGATCTATCCAGCAAAAAGTTTCTGATAAGGTAAAATACTCATCTGAAACACCTAGAAAGACTAATGATTCAATTCAAATACAAACAGAAAGTCAAGATCTCAATAAGTCTTTTAATGAACTACTGCCTACGCCTGAACTTTTCAGTCTGAAAGAGAACAAGGTTCCGAAAAGAAAATCCATTAACTAGTTAGTAACCAAAGATCTGTTCTCTTCAACGACCTCTAAATACGAACCCAAGCGTAAAATCAGAAAGCAACCAACAGCATCCTCATCGAAGATTCTAGTGGAAAATTGCTCCGAAAGTAATACGCCAAAAAGTGAATCTTGGTACTGTTGTGTGTATCAAAAATCCGAACAATTAGATATGCGGTCTTGTGTGATATGTGGCACTTGGAGCCACGAAGTGTGTATCGGTTTTACAAAAGAAGACAAAGATCAGTATACTTGCTCAAGCTGTGAATAAGTCTTTTCTTTTGCAAACGTTAGTTGCTTTGGTTTTTGAAAGAATTTGTTTTTTTTTGACATTTGTTTGTGTTATTTCCATAAAAACTTATTTTATTTGATTACTTAGTAAGAAAATATCTATAGGTAACGTAAAGTTTACCGTTGATACGTATTTGTAGTTATATTCTAGGTGGGCCCTTTTAGCCGATGTCATTTTTTCATGTGGGCTTTATTAACCGAACATTCGGTTAAAAAGGCCCAGTTGCATTTTTTTTCTAGCGCTTAATTCGACCTTTTGTATTAACGTTTAACTTAAGCTGTACCTTTAGTTACATTTAAGACACCTCAAACCATAGTTATTTCGATTTTTATTTGCTCATTTTGGTTTTTTTTATTAAATAAAGTGATTTTTTCCTTAGGTGGGCCTTATTTGCCGCAGGTACCTTATTCGCATTTCAGCAAGTAATTGCGAAAATCGCTGGAAAGTGCTAGAAAGGAATTATAAAAAAAATATTGATAATAACCAACAAATAGGCAGGGGTCGAAAAGTGTTCGAATATGCCGATATAATGGCTGACATAACGGGCAAGAAAATAAATATTAACAACAAATTTTGGAAGAAACAGAAGGAATGGCAGAATCCAACAATGAAAATGTGGAAGCGGAACCTTTGCCATCAAAACAAGCAGTACCCAAAAGAAAACATAAGCCGTTATTTTGCAAGAAATCAGAAACGATCGTAGAGCTTTTTAGAAAAGACAATTGGAAATGGAAGAAAAAAAATTAGAAGAAAAAATAAATGCTGTATTAGAAAAACGTAATGTTTTATTGGAGCGATTTTTGCAAGCTAACAGTTACTCCCCTGTTGTTGACATATCACCCTGATTTTGTTATTGTTGCCATTGAGAATGTGATTATTTGTGTTTCCTCATATTTAGTTTATTTGGTTTTTTCTTATTGATCTCATTTGTTTTTTGTATTTATTTTTTATATATGAATAATATATATGAAAATGATGCCTTCATTTCATTTTATCGCTCCAAATTATACATTAACAAATTGTTTCTGAAATGCTTCGTTAAGGAAATAAACTGTGGCGGTCATTTATAGAATGATTTTTTATTTGTTAATATAATAACTTAACACCCTGTATTACCTTAAGCGTTTTAGACAAAAATATTATGATCTGCCCCCATTATTTTGATGTTCATTAAAAAGCTAATATATTTATTAATATCCATACCTCAAGCAAAATTGTATTAAGCCACAAAGCAAACTTCACAGGATAGCAAGAATGAAAAATATCTTTTGGTGTTTTATATCTTATTTCACTGGATAATTTACACTTGAACTAAAAGAAAAACTTATCAGTTTTTACATAATAACCATCGTTCTTTTCAAATAGCAAGAGTTTTTAAAAACAAACATTTTTCAGGAATAATGGTCGTACTACTTCTAGACTTACACTCTTTTCTGTGGTGTGAAATGTTATTTCATCAGTTAGTAAAACGATATGCCATGATCATTTTATTTGTTGTTGAATGTACAGAGTACTTACAAAAGTCGAATATATAATATATGAAGGAATACAAGAAAGGTTATTAAATAACACAATATTCACCAAAAAACTGACACAGTTTAACAAAATACATGTTACCAGTCGGCATGTTGTCTACATTCCGTAAAAGTGGGGTTATGTATATGTTAATAACAACGACGGTTAATAATAATCATCTACAAGTGAATACCATGGGTAAGTCTCAGTTTAATACCAAATTACTTAATTTTCAAATAACATTTTCCAGATAAACGAGATTTTAAGACTCATCCTCAACAGTGGAGTACTTACTATTGTGGACTTTGGAGAAGAGCATCCCACAATTTTCAGACCACAATTCAACCATGGTGACGGTGATGCTAGACAAAATGCGATATGTTGGCAGAATCTAGTACAATCATTGAATTCGATGGGATTTGGGTTTAGGAGTGTGGAGAAATGGAAAATGGTTTGGTTTTTATATCATGACCGTAGGGGGAGTCCGGGAGATTTGACCAGGTGGGAGATATGTTCCACACCGCATAAATCATTTTGAATTTCGCGCGATTTAGATCACTGACAGGCCGCTGCATGCCTACTCGATGCTTGTCACACGCACGGCGCCATATTGGCTTCTAGCAAAACGGTTCTACAGTTAGCGAAGGAAGCACGTGTTTGGTGCTAAGAAGTTAGAAATTAGAATATTTTGAGTTTTGACGCCACGTCTTTAAATAATCAGGTATGAAATGACCTTAATATTAATTAGATTACTAAATCATTCTAGTTTTGAGAACCAATTGTGTTTTATTCCTCAGCTTAAACTAATTTCCGTAATTTTTAAATCGAGTAAGCTAGGTCGGGTTAGGGAGACTTGACCCATCATGCCTAGGGAGATTTGCTCAGTGGTTCAAATGTCCCTTTGTTGTGTCCGACAAAAAGAGAATCGTTTCAACTCTTTTTTTCAGATATGCCGTTTCAATACAAGAGCAAATGCAGTTCATCTCGTAAGAAACTTATAAAACAGGAGCTGCAAAATGCTATTGCAGATGTGAAATCTGGTGCATCTCTGAGGAAAACAGCTATCAAATATGGGATAAACAGGACGACTTTACGTCGGTACACAAAAAATGAAGAAAAACTGAGAGTTTTTGATGAAAAGGGTAGTTCGCATAAGGCTTCTCAGATTTTCACAATTCCAGAAGAGAGACTGCTGGTTGGATATTTAATAAACTGCAGTAAAATGAATTATGGTCTTACTCGTATAGAAGCGATGAAATTAGCTTATGAATATGCTTCATCAAATTCCAAAAAAGTTCCAGACAGTTGGTCAAGAAACTGTTCAGCTGGAAAAGACTGGTTCCGTGGGTTTCTTCATAGAAATAAAGAAATAAGTCTGCGAACGCCTGAAGCAACTAGTTTATCAAGGGCGACTAGTTTCAATAAGAAGAATGTTGGTGACTTTTTTGATAATCTGAGGCGTGTTCGGGAGAAATATAAGTTTGAACCACAAAATATTTTTAATTGTGATGAGACAGGATGTACTACTGTTCAGGACTGTCCAAAAGTGTTAGCAAGCAAACAATCAAGGCAAGTGGGACAAGCAACTTCTGCTGACAGAGGAACTCTTGTAACAATTTGCTGTGTAGCTAATGCAATTGGGAATGTCATACCACCATTCTTTGTATTTCCTCGTGTCAAATATCGGGAAGATTTTGTATCTAATGGACCAGAGGGATCGGATGGCGACGCATACTCCAGTGGTTGGATGACCAAAAAGAGCTTTTTGAAGTTCATGGAACATTTCAAAAAGTATTCCCGAGCATCCAAAGAAAATCCTGTTTTACTTATATTCGACAATCATGAAAGCCATATAAGCATAGATGTAGTCAACTTTGCCAAAGAGAATGGTATAACAATAGTAACGATCCCTCCGCATTGCAGCGGTAAGCTGCAACCGTTAGATGTTGCTGTTTATTCTTCATTTAAGTCACGTTATAACAGAGTTTTGAATAACTGGATGCTATCAAATCCAGGGAAAACGGTGACGATATATAATATACCGGAGCTTATAAAGACATTGATGTCAGACGCCTTTAGTCAGGCGAACATCCTTAGTGGGTTTAGAAAGAGCGGCATTCATCCTTTTAATCCTGATATTTTCACTGAGGAAGAATTCATGTGCTCTGCAGTCACTGACAGAAGTTTCTTGGGCGATGACGATATGCTTTCTGCTCATTCGACTCTTCAAGACCATTCGGCTCGACTGACTTTTTCTAATAGTATAGAAAACCCGTCATCTTCCTTTGACAATCCCTCTATGCGTTGTGATCAAAATGGTGCTCACTTAGATAAGGTTCCACTTGTAGCTCCGGCAGCAATAAGGCCTTACCCAAAAGCTTCGCCCAGGAAGAAAACACGGCATGGTCGTCAGCCAGGAAAAACAAAAATCTTAACCGAAACTCCTGAAAAAGAAGATAATCCTGTAGCTGATCCGGCAACTGTTGGGATACTCACCGAAAGGAACATTGAGGAGAACCGAACGATGGCTGCGAAAAACTCGAGGGTAGGAGGAATTAAAAAGAACATCTTTCAAGATGATGAAACAGAAACGCAACGGGAAGATAGTTCAACCATAGTCGAGCATAAATCCAGAAAGAGAAATTTCAGGAGTTCGACTGGAAATGGAAGCACAAGAAGAAAGACCAAGTTGAAAAAACGCGTTAAATCCAGTGAAACAGAATCAGAGGACGAGTGCGTTATCCAATATGCTGATAGCTCGAGTGGTGACGAGGCTCAAGATCCAAGTGACCCTTGGTATTGTTTTGTTTGCCAAAACGAAGAGGTTTTGGATATGCGCCTTTGCATTTCCTGTAAAAGGTATGCACATGAAATATGTGTTGGACTGACGAATAAAGACAATGAAAACTTCATATGCCATGAGTGCGACTGAAATTATTAATATTTGTGTTTTATGTGTTGATGACACCTTAGGTTCTAGAGAAAATTCAACTTTTTGTTAGTTTTGTCTTGGATTATTCCAACCCAGCAATGAATGTAGAAGTTTCGTTTGTAGTTAATGCTGATATTCTAAATAAACTATTTGAGAGTTGAAAACAGTTTGTCTTTATTTCTCTGTATATATATATATATATATATATATATATATATATATATATATATATATATATATAAAGATGTGGTCAAGTCTACCTTATGATCGGGTCATCTCTCCCAGGGGTTGGGGAGACTTGACCCATATATCAATTTTTCGAAAATCAATAGTTACAGCTAAACCACTAGATTAATAGCGATTTCTATATCACACAGTAATAGCTATTAGGCAATCTGACGCACATGTCTTTGAGCGACCAAGTTTCAATGAAGAATTACAGTTTTATGCATGTTGGAGTTGAAAGGGGTCCAACTCTCCCGGACTCCCCCTATATATGTATCTATATCGTGCTTGTTGCACAAATTATAGACAGTAGTTTACCACTTAGGTTTACCTTATACAACTGGAAAAAAACGTTTGTTTATTCTAAAGTTCTTTGAGAATTTGTATTTTAAACGTTCAAAGCACAAACCACCTTCAGCAGCTTGCCAAAATGATTAAAATTATATGTCAGTTTGTCATTTAAAAAGATACAAATATATGTACTTTGAAATACTTAAAGAATGAATGTGGGTGTTTATTAATGTTTAGTGTTGGACTGTGCTATATCAATAATTTATCATTTTTATATATTGCTTTAGGCTGTTGGTAGATGGAAATCGAAGGTTACGGCAAAAGCAGCACAGCTGAGGATCGCGAGCCAAAAAAACTGGTGGTGGCTGTTTAAATGCTGCTCCTTTAACAGACACAGAGGAGCGACTAATGAAATTAATTGGTTGGAAATCAGTAACAGGGAATAGCAATGCAGAGCTGGGATCGGTAATTATGTCATTTGATACATTTAAATAAAATTGTAAGTAGAATTGTAATATGCAGGGAGAGCTTTCAGTATGGCCTCGGTTGATAACTCTATTATTAAACATGATATCAATCAATCAATTTTCAAATGAGGCAACCTGTATATTTTAACATCCTCTCATTGCCCTTTAACACGTTCGCTGCTCACGCCGACAACGTGGCGGCATAAGAATATGTATGCGAGTGCTCAAGCCGCAACCTTGTCGGCGTAGTCCCTGTTGTACAGTGTAGCCAACCCTACAGTTTTAACTGTAGATCTACAGTTTTTTGGAAATTCTCTCAGTTTTTAGTTTAGGCCTCGAAATCTACAGTTTTTTATTTAGGCTGCTAGCGTCATCTATTTTATTTGCTACGTATTCCGTACACTAAGTCAGCTTCAGTAAAACTTACTACTATCGAACCGGAGGTAATGGGCAACCAATTTAATAGATGGCGCTGGTGGTGGACAGTTGTA